GATCATGGTGAATGTTTCACCAGCGATCACTTCCCTATCCGAGGACAAATTCCAGTTCGCAACTCAGTGATGAGACCCGAAAAGGCAAAACTCCGAGTAACAAAGGAAAAGCTACCCAGATACGCCAAGGTAATTGCACAGTGGGTTCGACCACCACCAGTTCTTGACACAATCGAGAGGGTTGAAGAGTATGCCGAGGAAATTTGTTTCCATCTCACTAATGCCATCAATTCAGTAGGAACACGACCAAAAGCCCGCTGCGGCAGATCTGCTCCGTGGTGGACCCCAGAGTGCAAGGTAGCCTTTGCTAAGTACAAAAGCGCGATAACTCCCAGCCAACAGGCACTCAGCGCGAAAAAGCTCCGATCAGTTGTGAAGACCTCGAAAAAGAAGTTCAAAACCCAACAGGTCGAATCAATTACTACGCTGACTGATGTATTCAAGCTAATGAGAATAGATAACCCCAGACAGGCTAGTATCCCTCTGCCACTGAATCACAATGGGACGTTTATAACAGATCCATTAAAACGGGCCACGATCCTTTGCGACTCCCTCCTGGCACGATTTCAGGCATCAGACGACTTGTCACCATGTACAGTCGCGAGCAGCAGTCGGATACCATGGGAAGAGGACGTAACAGATGAAGAAGTCCGAGCCTGTACTATTGGTTGCGGAAATACGGCCCCAGGAGCAGACGGAGTCTCCGTAAACCTGCTGGAGGCGTGTTGGAATACAATTGGGCCTTGGATTTCCCAACTGTTCCGAGCTTGCATTCTGCTTGGCACCCATCCAAAGTGTTTCAAATTAGCCGAGGTGGTCCTCCTTCAAAAGAACGATAGAGACCCAACGACAATCAAAGGTTGGAGACCAATCGCTCTTCTCTCATGCTTGGGAAAAGGGTTAGAAAGGCTCTTAGCTAAGCGGATGGCACACCTTGCAGTAATCCATGATGTAGTCGGCCAGCAACAGTTTGGTGCACTGCCGAAGCGCTCAGCAACGGATCTAGTCTCATGTGTGGTCCACGACATCGAAGAGGCAAATTCACAAGGATGGGCAGCTACTTTTGTAACGTTGGACGTTCAAGGAGCATTCGACGCGGTACTCCATAATCGATTAGTAAGGAGGATGCAGGAGCAGGGATGGCCGGAGTCTATTCTCAAATGGACTAGCTCCTTCCTTGCCAATCGGACGGTTCAAGTGCAATACTCTGGGGGAGTCACTACCAAGAGAGAGCTAGTGTGCGGAGTTCCACAGGGCTCACCGATCCCGCCACTTCTCTTCCTTCTATATATGGCAGAGCCCATGCGAAGTGGAACCCCGGGTCTGAGGTTTAGCTACGCCGACGATATCGGTATCCTTGGATTAGGCCGGACGATTGCAGAGTCTGTAGCCGCAGCACAGGACGAGGTCAATAACCTACTAGACTGGGCTCGAAATAATGCCGTCGCTTTCGATACAGACAAGTCCGAAGTCGTACAATTCCCCGGACGATACCGCGAAACATTGGTTGGAATTTTTGTTAACGGAACTCTCATAGAGCCGTCGCAAAATGTCCGCTGGCTTGGTGTGTAGCTCGATCCTCGACTAAACTTCAAACACCACGTCACAACTTGGTGTGGCAAAGCGTTGAAAATTGCACAGCACATGCGTCGCTTCAATACAGCCTACCGAGGAGCCGCTCCTGGGGCGTTGGTTAAAGCGATCGACACATGTATTGTCCCAATCGCAACGTACGGAGCTGATGTCTGGTGGCCTGGCCTTAGACGCCCAACAGGACGAGGGATGGTGACACCGCCCACTGCTGGCCTATGTAGTATGTGTTGCGCTACGGTTATTTTAGGTTTACCTGAATTTACTCATAACATGACTCGGGTCGGAGAAGTTAATGCTGATACGTGATGCGTATCAAGGAAAATATCTTTTTGTTCGGATTTTACATAACTCATACTTTGAATTGGGTTTACATTTATGTTTCCGATGATATTCTCATCTTATCTGTCCAGAGCACGGTTTGGTATTTTTCGGTGGTAGCATTATTGCCAGCGAGTTATCTAGTAGGGTTTCATATGAGGAAAATTATGTATTTTAGATACTCAATAGCCAGAGAATAGAGGGACGACCCTTCGATGATTTGTTACCTTCTACTCCCATTTCCAAAATAGTCCAACAGTATGATTGATAAGGCTGTCTTAATGGGTCTTAGGCCAGCACTACCAGTAATGAGAACAACACCCAACGCTGTACTACATAGGGAAGGAGGAATACCAACCGGGAAAATAATTCTCGAAGGAAACCGAATTTGCCTCTCTACCAGAATGCAAACACTTGACGACCGCCATCCGCTCAGGGTACGTGCTGCAGTTTACCCAAATTTCGGTACACGAAAATATAAAAAGCACAATCGAAAATCTGCGCGTCCTGAAATTCAAATGTCACGGGCTCAGCGTGCTTATAGACAGCTACCAGAGGCAGAGGCCGCGGAACCTCTTGCCTCACCATTTTATCAATCGCGGCCGGGTTCGAAGTTTGGTTCGAGAAAAGACCAAATAGAAGCCTGTAAACTTTGGATCACTAATGTGCCAAAGTCGGAAATTTGTGCTTACTCGGACGGAGCATCGGAGGGAAAGGGACGCTCAGCTTGGGGGTTTTTCCTAAAGCTGGATGGGAAAACTTTTCAAAAAGGAAGTGGCATAAAGCATGGTGGAGAGGCTTTAGATGCAGAGATTATGGGGGCACAGGAAGCTCTTAAAGCAGCGTTGGGTCACCTAAGAGGGTAGGAGTACCTGACGAAGGGAACGACGCAGTGCATTAATGTGTTGATGGATAGTCGACATGCGATAAATGTACTGAGCACGGGCAGGTTCTCGACCAGGCACGAGGAAGTACGAAAGTTTCGCGAATTATGTAGGCTAGCTCAGGTAAGAATAAAGTGGGTATCAGGACACTCGGGAATACATGGAAATGAGGAAGCAGACGCAGCGGCCAAATCCGCCCTACGAACGCTTCCCAGCGTGGAAACTGAACCAGCAACCACCACAACAGCATTTTTACACCAAAAATTGCATCGACAGCGGCAGACTTTGCTCGACAGCTGGTGGAATGAAACTTGCCCGTCACGGTATCGTGAGCTAGATCTGCTCATGCGCCGTCGTAAACCACCAGAACTGGGGCTTTCCAGGCTACAGTTACGACATCTCATTGCAGCCCGTACGGGCCACGGCAATTTCGCGGCGTACCATCGTCGCTTCAACAATCCACACGCTATCATAGAGTGCGTCTGTTGGGAGGAAACCACCCCTACCCACTTCATACATTGTCGACTCAACGCAAATATCACGCGTCGAATCAGAGGGTCATTGTCACACAGTGCCCTCTTATACAAACTACTCGGGCCTAAGTGCTTCAAGAGCTTCAAAAAATTTGCGCAGGATACCAATTGTTTTGGGTATTCTCCTGTACATCCATCTCCTACTCTCAGTGGAGATCGAATATAACTCATCAGGAAACTAAACCTGACAAAATGGGAATCGAGGCGAGGAGTATTGCTGCCCATTCTAATTTCTTTGCAATTTATCTTTTTCTCTTGTCGGTTATGGGAGAAGGAGTTTCCGTCGGCGCATATTTTTAACTTACTGCTGGTTTTGTGGTGGTTCATGCGATGGAATCAAGCTGGGTATGTCTTAGGTGTAGTTCTGGCTGTGAACATCGGTCCTGTACTCATAGTGGACTTGGAGCTTTAGCTTAGGACTTGAATAAAACAACAACAACAGACTTGTGACTTGTACTTAGGCACAATACTTCTTACTCAGCCACGTATTTCCAGGTATCACTAAGTTGTAATAACGCTACAGCCTCCTGGCTAGTAGTGCCGTTTGGCTCAGTTTCGTCCCCCCCACATACAGCCTTATCAGAAGAATTCTCAACATTAGGCTTAGGTATGCGCCTAGGCTGAAACAATAGTCAAACCGTAACAGAAGCAAAGAGATCTCTAGCCACTAGTAACAGAAACTTTTAACGATTTATCCAATTAGTGAATCTATCATGCAATAAATTCACCGAAGCCTAATAATTCAGGCTAAGTCAACTGTTATCAGGAGTCATAGCCACATGATGTTGCTTCCTCGCCCTGGCTAATAGTGCTATTTCGTCCATCATATTCCTCCACTTTCGACCTTGTCTTAAATATTGTCGACAAGACGCTCAAGTTCATTATTAAGCTCAAACTACGGTCAAACCGTAACAGATAAGATGTGTTTTACGGGGTAAGACTTTGCCTTGGATATAATCAGATAAAAGCTTAGAGAGGGTGTACGAAAATCAACTATATATCAGATATATTTATTCATTGATTAATGCATAAAAGACCACCTTCTATTCAAAATTTCAGTACTTTCTATTTATGGTGTGGGTCATTTCATGGTTTAAAAAGCTTATTGTATTCTCGGGCATGAATTCTTACGCACCAAATGGGATACCTGGATTCTCTCGTGAAATATTCTGGTCTCTACTTAGCCTACTTGATTTATTATTCGGAGCCAGTTCCGTGGACCAGTTTTTTGGCATATCAATATCTGGCTCGATCTCTGAGATCATTTAGTAGTTTTTGATGGATAAAAATCATTAGGTTCATATCATCAACTTAAGAAGTATTTAAATCTAGGTGCTGACTGGCCGCCAAGTAGAATTCCATCTGTGGCGCAGAGTTAAATGGTTTTTGTTTCTAGCACTAAGCTAGCGGGAGGCCTAGTCTATTAAGAAACAACTTCTTGGATTATGTTCTGCTGCTGAGGATATCGTATGGGATTCTATTTCTATGACATACGTTGAAATTTCGAGAGAAAGTAGCATTACCAAGCTCCTTTATCCCTTCAAGCAGAGATGACACTTTTTCCCTGTGGAATTGACTTACATTGTCTCCCTCCAAGAAGACCTTTTCTAGGGGGTGCCATTCATGTCAAGTTAGTTTGGACCGAGTGAATCACATATAGGAGTGTAACCGATCACGTAAAATTTGTGTGATCGTCCACTTTTACCTGTCCACTAAATTTTCCGATAGCCTTCGCGATATCAAATAGACTACATTCCGTAGTAGCTCCAAACTTCTCTCGAGTATCTTGTTCAACATATGACTTTCCACCAGCTGCCTTATCATACCATGCAGTCCAGTCATAAAAATCATTAGTTTTCTTGCTCTTCGAATTGACCCCTCCCTCAATTAACTCTGTTTCTGGTATGGACATCTGATCATCAGCGACAATAATTGATCCAAATTTTCTCTCCCATTTGATGCGCAGTCTAACTCCTGGATAATCGTTTTTTTGATTGTACACTTGAGCCACATTGATGCAGATAAAGCGAATTACTTTTTCAAAATCAGACGCCTCACGCTTCAGAATATTTGAGTAAGTGGATAATTGCCATTTTGGCCCATCGGTGCACCGAGAGAGACAACCTTGAAGGTGTTGTGTGATAGCACAGCTTGTGCACCATAATATCCACTCCTGAAAATCTTGGATAGAGTGGAAAATTCCAGGTGTAGGACATGTTAGAATCATTGGGCTTTCCGGATTAAGCTGAACTTGAAATGCAGGAATAATATCACGATACGCCATAGTACGGATTGTAATTGATATTTCTGTGTCAGGAAGAATGGTAAATTTAATAAAAAATTCAAGCTGTGATGATAACGATGTGAGGATTTGCTCGGCTTTTGTTAGAAATACAGGTAAGGTTATCTTTTTCCGGGTCGAGTTGTATGAGGCAGAAATAGAAGCACTTCGCAAACTAGTGGTAAGGGGTGATATGAATGCAATAACCTCGCTGACTGTACGTTCGTGAATAAGACGGGTTAGAATTGGGCGCATTAGCGAACAAGGTTCAGGAAGAGGGTTGGATGTAACCGGCTGCGGTGGCTGTGCTCTCCTTCGACGAACAAGACGGTGAGACCATGTCAAACCTAAATGAAGAGCAGTGTGTATTCCAGAGGCAAAAAAGTCATCTTTTCCATGAGATTCAGAAACTGATTGGGCACAGAGGGGAACAATATCGATAAGTGCTTTTTTCCACGGGGTAAGGGTGAATGTGACAATCGATGAAGTCGAACTAACACCGAAAGAACAGAGAAATCGAGCCTCACGCTGTAGTTCCTGCCATAGTTCTTCGGCAAAGAGCGTATTTCGTGCTTGAAGTATTAGGGCTTGTACAGGTGCATTGCCTGGGACAAGCAGTGGAGTAGTTGTTGAGCCAGTTTTAGTGCCATTAGTCTCTATACGGACTCGAATGACTTGCGGACCAGAGCCAGATATTCCCTGATCGAGGAAAATAGAACCATCATGATTACGTCGTAGTGCTGCTAGACTACGGCTCTTGAACGCTAGAGATGCTGGATAAAAAAGTCAGCATGATGCAACAGATCTAACGATTCCCGCATACCATCAGAGATTCCTACCCTCACTCCAAGTGTTTGTTTTTCCATAGGAAGACAACAGATTGCCCAGCCGTTATTGCTGATATCAAGAACCTGTTCCCAGTATCTAGTTTCTGATTCAATTTCCTTCTCTAATCTTGTAGCCGCCGCCAAGATTGAGTCAACGGTTCTATTTAAACTTTGGATCTGCCACCCTCGTACAACCTGCTTGTTTTCATTTATCTTGGTATCAGTGATTCTTGTCGCATTAAGCTTGTCAAATCCCAGAGTTCCCAATCCCACGAACTCTCGAAGTTCTGGAGATATTGTTGAAACGGCTTGTGTTGGCGCATCTTTAGAAAGAGCAAGAGAGATAAAGTCTAGGGCAAACATTGCAGATTGATGAGCTGAACTAATAGTTTTATCAATAGTGCAAAAATCGTTTGATTCGAGTTACATACTCAATTTGACATAAAAGCTCTTGTCTAGCAATTGCTAACTCTTTAATCCGGTCAGGTTCCTCATCCTCTTCGGTCGACTCGCTATCTGATTCGGAACATTCCTTTGATACAATTCTTTCTCCCAATATCTCCTCGCGTAGATTATCCTCTGTAAGACCTCTAAAGCCTCCTGATTCGGCCCGCTGAAAATCAATGCGCGATATTTTATCCGCTAGGGAGTTCTCGTTGATACTAGGGGTCTGATCTGGTCCGAGAGAGAGTAGTAAGTCATCTTCAATAGTATTTGTATGCAAATCCATAGACAGCTTTTTTCAAACTTGCAGAAATTATAGCAACGATAACTTTTTGATTTGATCAAGCTACACTAGAAAAATAGGTTGATTTTGAAAATGTATTTGTCTACTGAGTGTTACAGGCCAGCTAACTATAAATTTAAAGTTAGCGCTTCACGCGTCATATTTGCAGCAGCTTAGGTTAAGCCTATTTCTCTTAGACCAAGTTCTCCATCTACCCTTGCCTAATCAACTACCCTCATTATTCTCTGACGAATACAGGTTTAAACTATTGCATCACATCTTCTAGCACAGTGTAGGAATTAAGATCTAGTTCAAAGTCCAACGAGTTTTTCACATCCCATGCAGAAGAAAATTACGAATTTGATTAGCGTTCGATTCTTGGGTAGAGTTTTAGGTTCCAATACTTTCCTCCCGGACCGCAAAGGTTCTAGCATGAGTCGAGAAACCATGATCTGGAATGAACAAGATTCCTCTTCACTGCTTCGTGTAATATTTCAAATCAGCAGCTGCAGTTTTATCTCGCTATCACCATGACAAAAGGCATATGAGACATAATTCAATGCTAGTGTATGAAGTTTATCATCTTCAGGTATGGAAAAAAATGAAGCTGTTCTCTGATTGATAGCCTCCACAACTACTTATCCTCCTTGACCGCTGGGATTTAACTAGGATTCTAAGTGTGACGTACAGCTTCAATGTGCAAGGATCACTAGCGCTGTCAGGAGCATTGGTCTTTGATGAACTGAATAATTTATAATCGAGTAAAGGGTAAGAAAAATTAACATATGAGATGCCAGCCCCTTTCTAACTATTCGTTGGAGCATAATTCATATCATAAATGTGACGCTAGAAACCCAAACTTCTCCCCCAGGATCGCGACCATATCGGACAAAGTGATTGGCAACAATAAGCAAGAACGACGATGAGGTTGTAAGCCGTGAAAGACATTATGATATAGAGCTCAGTGAATAAAAGAGTGCCTCTACGTATGTAGGCATAATTTTGGATGATGATATCTGTTATCGCACAGTTATCTTTAGGGTAAAGTTTATTTGTATAGATAATGTCCATCCGTTTTACTCCTTCAACTCTGTTCTCTAAATGTAACACGCACGTGGCGGGGTGCTATGACATCCACGAATTAACTCCACAGGTGCAACAAAAGCCTCATAATCCCCTCTCAATTTTTCCTTAGTATCCGATTTCTCTGACTCTAAAACGATTGCAAGTAATTACCAAATATTCCTACCTAGGTTATCAGAGCTCTTCAATTCCACAACAATTGTGCGTTGCTACCTATCTGATCTTTATACCCCGCCATCATGGCTCCAACAACGCAAACCCCACCACCTCGGGACAAAAAACGACGGATCGCCGTAATGACTAGTGGTGGGGACTCACCCGGTATGAACGCAGCGGTGCGAGCCGTCGTTAGATTCACCATCGAGAAAGGCTGTGAAGCCTATTGTGTGTACGAAGGATACGAAGGCTTAGTAAGAGGAAATGATTTAATCCGCAAAATGACCTGGCTAGATGTCCGAGGCTGGCTTTCAGAAGGGGGGACTCTGATTGGCACAGCAAGATGCATGGCTTTCTATGAACGCTCTGGAAGACTTTTGGGAGCTAAAAACTTAATTCTTAATGGTATCGATGCTCTCATTATCTGCGGTGGTGACGGCTCCTTGACCGGAGCAGACAGATTTAGGGCGGAGTGGCCCAGTCTACTGAAAGAATTGGTCCAAACTAAAGAATTAACTCAAGCACAAGTCGAACCATTTCAACATCTTAACATAGTTGGATTAGTTGGTTCTATAGACAACGATATGTCTGGCACAGACGCTACAATTGGTTGTTATTCAGCTCTAGGTCGTATTTGTCAGATGGTGGATTATATTGAGGCTACAGCATCATCACATTCAAGGGCCTTCGTTATTGAGGTTATGGGAAGACATTGTGGATGGTTAGCTCTTATGGCCGGTGTTGCAACAGGTGCAGACTTTGTTTTCATCCCTGAGAAACCCAGCCAGGGAAATTGGAAGGAAGAAATGCGCAAGATAGTAAAAAAGGTAATCTTCGCTACAATAACAAAAGGATACCACTAATTCTTGCAGCAACGAGAATATGGAAAAAGGAAGACGATAGTAATTGTAGCAGAAGGCGCTCATGATCTTCAAGGCAGCAAAATATCACCCGAAATGATAAAGGACCTTCTTTCCGAGAAAAATGGCCTCGGGTTAGATACACGGATCACAACACTTGGACATGTGCAAAGAGGTGGACAAGCATGTGCATTCGATAGGTACTTAGCCACAGTTCAGGGTGTTGAAGCTGTGAATGCAGTTCTTGATGCTACACCGGACACACCCACCCCATTTATCGCTATTACCGAAAATAAGGTCACGCGCAAGCCTCTTGTCCAGGCAGTTCTTGACACGAAGGAGGTCGCGAAAGCCATAGAAGCCCAGGAATTCGACAAGGCCATGGGCCTACGCGATACTGAGTTTATCGACCTGTATAATTCCTATATGACAACTACGGCATCAGCCTTAAATTCTCACTTATTACTCCCTCCGCAAAAGGTAAGTCCAAAATATTCACTTGATTCTCTCGCTCATTACTATAGCACATGCGAATTGCTTTTATCCATGTTGGTGCTCCTGCTGGTGGTATGAATGCAGCAACTCGAGCCGCAGTTGCATATTGCTTAACTCGCGGTCATACTCCCGTTGCCATTCATAATGGCTTTGCCGGATTTGCCCGCCATCATAGTGACCAGCCACTCGGTGCAGTACGCGATTTTGACTGGCTGGAAGTTGACAGTTGGGCCAGTAAAGGTGGCTCCGAAATCGGCACTAATCGCGAACTTCCATCTGAAGCCGGAATAGATAAAGTCGCCTCCTTATTCGAATTATATAAGATTGATGGTCTCTTCATCATTGGTGGATTTGAGGGTTTCCATGCTCTATCACAATTACGTATTGCTAGAGAAAAGTATCAGTCACTCTGCATTCCTATGACTTTGCTCCCTGCTACTATTTCAAATAACGTTCCAGGAACAGAATACTCTTTGGGATCTGACACTTGTCTAGATGAGTTGGTCCGTTATTGTGATACAATCAAACTATCTGCATCTGCAACACGCCGCCGAATTTTTGTAATAGAAACGCAAGGTGGTCGTTCGGGTTATATTGCTATCCTTGCTGGTCTTGCGGTCGGTGCCTCGGCTGTCTATACTCCCGAAGAAGGCATAAGTCTTGATATGCTGGCAGCCGACGTTAAGTACCTTAAGGACGTATTCCGACAAGATTCGGGACATTCTCGTTCAGGGAAACTGATTCTGGTCAACGAAAAGGCTAGTCCTGTTTACAATGCTAAGCTGATTGCAGACATAATTCGCGATGAAGCGGAAACTCATTTCGAGTCACGTGAGAGTATTCCAGGTCATGTACAGCAAGGCGGGGTTCCATCTCCCATGGACCGTACGAGAGCCGTTCGTCTTGCTATCAAATGTATGGAACATCTTGAGAAATATGAAGGTTGCTCAAGGGAGAAAATACTGAATGACCCACTCGGAAGTTCTGTTATCGGAATAAAGGGTGCTAGTGTAGTATTTAGCTCCATGAAAGACGTCGAAGAAAAAGAAACTGACTGGCCAAATCGAAGACCTCGCAACGAACATTGGTTAGGGCTCACAAAAATCGTTGACACCTTGTCTGGAAGATCTAAAAGTGTAAGGCCGCAAAAAGCAACAGTAAGCAAGGAAGCGGTTCAACCTAAACCAAAGTAGATGAAGTGCTTCCCTGGTGGTCAGATTACTGGCTTGACTAGATAATTGTTTTGTCAATGGAGATGTCAGGTCATCTCTCGTCCGGAAGTCTGGTATTGATCTTGTTTAATTTTGATGACGAGAAAGAGGGTATAAATTAAGGCGCACATTTTTCTGGTGAAACTTTAGTGTCCAATAGTATCCTTCTAATACACAAATCTTTGTCGTAGGAACTTTACAATAGCATGAGTATTTTTTGTGCTCGAATTCTGCAGAAAGGAACGTAAGGGAAACTCAATTTCTTTGCCAACACTGAATCCCTAGATAATTTGCCGATATGTAGACCAGGTTAGGCATCCGGTACCAGCCGCTTTAATAAACTTTGGAGAAAGGCGAGGTTTCGGCTTTTGCCGCGCGTTCATATCAGCATATGATCCGTGAGTAAACGGGTCCATGATAGTTTGTATTCCAGTGGCTAGTGCATACCATGTCAACGGCATGTGATTTAGGCAGAGTCCGTATGACCTTTAAACTCACACGAGGAGCTGCACTTATAGATCTCAGTAGATAAAAAATCTTAACATGAGATGTCTAGATATGTGGAAATTCGCGTGATGGTACAAGCTGTAGGTACTAGTTATTTTGTATCATTCCAAGTTGATTTATTTGACGAATTACAACCATCTTACCGTTAGTAAAGCTTGGGCACGACTTGACCCGGCCAGATCAGAGTAACGTATTGAATATAAACGCCTTACTAACTTGAGTAATATTAGATATATTTCGACACATCTATGTTGGATGAATACAAATACCTCAAACCTTAGTTTGCAAGGTATAGATCCTGCGCCCGATGTAAGTAACACAATATCGAGGATCTTGTGCACATTAATAAGAGTTAGAAAACATGTCTAATAAATCATATTGGCGGAAATTACCCCCTCGATAAGTAAAGATTTACATGCCAATCTAGAATTAGATAATCCGACTGGCCAAACATACCAAATCAAACTTCTCCATTCAGCAGTGTTATGGAGAGTTGTAGTGAGCCCAGAAAATCAACTATTGTCTACCATGTGGAGGAAAAGGTTATGCTTCTAAGACCCTATCTAGAAGACCATCCTAGATGATTTATCGCTGAGCCATTTGACGCGTATTATGATAAGGCTCGGAGGGCAAGACTGAACACCTGTATGCGGTGTTCTCTACGAACATTAGAGTAAAGTACTCTCCAAGAGCCAAGTTCAGTCAAATTTCGCAATGTCGAACAAGTTGGCCCACGAGGTAATGATTCAAAATACTCCACCATTTCAATCATTCACTCCCAAAGAGATCGAATCCTACCTAAGCCTCATCAAGTCTACAAGTGCGACCAAGTACATCCTCATCCCACTGACCACACCTCTCTTCGACTTTCTCTGGCCTCAGCTGATCGCCAAATACACGCCTATGCCGATATTTATACCCGACGGAGGACACACAGCGTGGCGCACAAATCTGGGAGACAGTTCATTGGGATTGGCGTGAGAGGATTAAGAACAAGTTAGCAAGATGATGCGACGGATGGATACAGTCTCGACGGGCGTGGAATTTTGAAATTTGGCAAAGAGTTTTTACAAATTGAGCTTTGTGCGTGCCAAGACTTCGGTTGCGAGAGTGCAGGCGACACTTTAAACATCGCCATCGTTGGATGGTGCGGTGGTACATTGTCATGGCCGGTCTGCCAAGTAGAGTCTGGATAGCTTGCACACACATCCCACTTGAGACAGTAGATCGCTGGTTCAAATCCGGCAAAACACAACCACTTTTCTCGCGGCGCTGGTATGCTTGGATAACCAAAGGTTTTGAAACGTCCCTTCAGTGGGTACTTACAGAGGACGGTCGACTATTTGTGTAAGCGAACATACCTCATAGTGGTATTTAGAAATGAAATCCAGAGTATGAGTGTCTCTAACGTCAAAAAAGTCATCCTACACGTATACATGGCACCGGTCATGTGTCATAGCTGAATACACAGTAAATGATTTAATAATAATAAAAAAGAGCCTAAGCCACAGCAAAGCAGTTGTGGCGCCATCTAGACACAGAAAACCCCCAATTACCTCCTCGTGCACACTCCATACAGCCGCTCATGTATACATTAGGTAGCCTGATGCACCACAATGTTACCCATTCCAACCACTTAACCAAACACAAGATTGTGTCGAGAACCCAGACGAAATTGAGGGTCCGCATGTTCACAACACTCTGTGTCTCCATTTCTAACAGTTAGCTTCATGATAACAATGACAAAGGGATGTGTTGAGAGATGAAGACGATACAGACCGCGAAAGCGATTGGGAGTCTACACCGAAGTGAGAACGACGTTGTCACTCGATTTCGACTCTGTAGACTCTATAGCTAGGGCTGGAGGTTCGAAGTAGATACCATGGACAGGTGCTCAGTCTTTGCCCACCTGTCCAGACCTCGCCTACCTGAGGGTACAGTATCTTTGATGATATTTTCCACGCACGCAGTTTCCACCGCTACCATTTTTATTCCTTTTGGAGAGAAAGTTCCGTTGAAAATGAAACTAAGATGGACGTATAGACACTGAGCTTGATAGCCGTTTGTAATGGGTAGTATGTCGGATATTTTATCGTGATAAGAAAGGACAGGAGCAGTGTATAAGGCATGTCCTGGGCCAGAAAAGAGCCTAGTAGGGGGACAATTCTCAACACCTGTCAGTGGTGTCCCCTACGAACCTCCAGCTCTCACTGTAGAGTCTACAAAGTCGAAATCGAGTGACAACGTCGTTCTCACTTCGGTGTAGACTCCCAATCGCTTTCGCGGTCTGTATCGTCTTCATCTCTCAACACATCCCCCTATCACCATTATTATGAAGCTAACCACGATCAGATCAGATGGTTGGGTCGGAGCCCTACTCGTCTCCAACTCTTGATCATGGAGGAAAAGCCATCCGATGAGTTTCCGGAGCGTACCTAGCACCCGATACGGAGATGGTGGATTGGATCAAGTTGGCCTCGACTGTTACAAAGAAGGGAGATATAGATGAATATGCGCACCTCATGTCGTCCTGGTGTCAAGGCCTCGCCTGGCTGGGGCTGCAGGTTTTTTGAGGTTTTTTCCCGCGCACGCAGTTTCCATTGCTACCATTTTTTTATTTTTTTGGGTAGAAGGTTCCACGGAAAAGGTGGCCGAATTCCACGGATAAATACTGAGCTGAATGGCTATTCATCAACGGGAATATATCAATGATCTTACAAGTAACAAAAGAGGCTAGGAGCACTGTACAATGTGTGGCCTGGGTCAGAGAGGAGGCCAATGTGCTAGATAGTCATAGACTCAAGTAGTAAAATAAAAACACACACACACAAGAGCCTAGTATATCAGGTAGTCTGAGACTTAAGAACAACAAAGCCTAAAATTTATGTAACTTAGGAATCAGCCAGAGATAATTTTTACACGATTCTGAACAAAATTATCTTATAAAGTCCCATAGCTTCTAGAATTAAATATGGAAAGTTTGCTTGTTGTGAAATGAGACACCGAGGTAGTCGAGGCTAGGGCATCGCGAGTGGCTTAAGACCACAGCATATGTCACTAGTATAATGGTTAGGTGAGCATGTATATAGCTTCATGGATGTGCGCACAATAAATGGACACAGGTTTAGACTTATGCATTCTGTCCATATACCTACAGCATAATATTGTATGAGTCTATTCACTGTCACCCACTAAATATAACACCCAATCCTCATCACTCGGCAATACAACCTCCGCACAGCTCATAACCATAATACCATTGAATATATCTATTCAAGTAAATCAATTTATCTTCCTCTCGCCCTCCGTCATATGAGCTTGCTGAGCCTCAGGTAAGGTGAACAGACTTTATCGTGGAGGCGCGTCTTCATCCATGATCTCATCAGGGGTTTAAACCTTCCCAAATGCATAGCTGAGTCGTGATAATTGTTCCGTGTAGACCCGCTGATTGACATCCGATATTCTTCGATTTCATTCAGAAGCACAAGTTTAAATAGGCACTTTGTCGCTCCCATCACGACATTAAAGTCTAGCGTTAATGTTTGAGAATCTGCAATGAAAAATTAAAAAGGTACTTTACCTGGTACGTGAAGCTAGAATGGGAGCGATTACTATTAGTGATTGAGATTACTCAGCAGATGTACTCGGTCTTCCGTTAATTCCTTGGTCTTGTTGCGTCTGTAAGACCATTATCGACTATCCCTTCGGAAAAGGATGAAGAGCCTTTGATTTTGTCTGATGATTTAGACTTCAAGGAGAATGAATGAGTACTGTAGAGCGTCCAGTCACCGTCCCCTTTTTTCCGCCCTATTCATAGACTCATTTCCTATGATACTAGAATTTCTCCAAGATCTAGTGAATCTCGTTTCAATCTATTCTATGAGGGGTAGACGCGGGTAGATTCAGCACTCGTAAACTGTTGTCAGGTATTTTTCGAAGGTAAACTGTAGTGATTCAATTGTGATGGATGGTAGCCTTAGAGCATTGACTAGATTATCAAAGATAGGCTACAATTTAGAAATATTCGCTCTGGGGATAGGGCAACTTAAGTAAGCAATATGAAGAGAGCTGCTTTTTTTTAATTTACTTTGGTCCTAAGCTAAAGCTCTTTATCCACATTGGGTCAAGGACCGGCGGATCCGGCAGGGTTCCCTGTAACTTTTCCTACAGCCTAGCTCGTTCCAACCTCGTGAATCGCTACCAAAAGTACAGCTGATTAAACTGAAACGAAAAATCAAGAAAATCAAAACAACTTCGAAAGAACAGAAGATTCCTCCATAATGGACCCAGTCAATATGCTCCTCACACATTCCGTCGTCCGTCACACCTTCCAAATGACAAATTTACTCATTCTCCGCTGAGAGCAAGAGATGAGTTAACAGATACCATTTATCCAGCCGGTATCCTGCTATTGGTTAGTAGATGCCCTAATGGGGACATCGTCGAGGTTGCTATGTCCTCAAACTTCTTCTTCA